TCAGGGGGTTTCAACAACTACAGGGTACCAGGGAAAATGTCTACCTACCTACAACATCTACACGTCAACAAGTGGGGACAATGCACTACAACAACATCATCATCATCATCATCAACAACAAAAACATCAACAAAATTATCAACAACATCATTATCATCAACATCATTATCATCAACATCAACAACAACAAAAACATCAACAAAATTATCAACAACATCATTATCATCAACATCATCATCATCAACAACAACAACAAAAACATCAACAAAATTATCAACATCATCATTATCATCAACATCATCAACAACAACAACAAAAACATCAACAAAATTATCAACAACATCATTATCATCAATATCATCATCAACATCAACAAAATCATCAACAACAACAAGACGGAGATCTGGAAGCCACGATCTATATACCTCACATAAAAGTAAATTAATCTACCTGAACTAATGACAATAACAACACCACTACACCTGTAATTAAGAGCGAACAGGTAACAACGAGTCGAAACAGAGATATAAAAAAAAAGTGATTTAGGCGAGAATTAGGTCAAAATAGGTCAGAAAATAAACAACTGTGGATGAATAGAACAAGTCATTAAACAGTCATTAATACGAGGTCATTGGGAAGCTTCGAATATAGACAAGATAGTTATAGAAAAAGTGAAATAACTATATATGAATGATAAGGGAAGGGTATAAAGATGGCTGCCTATAGTATGGACTAATTAAACTTAGATTACAATAATTTTCTTCATTCTTATGGTCCTTTAAAGATAGTCGAGGAGAGAGTGAGTGAGTTAATGAGTGAGTGAATGAGAGAGAACAGGCGAACGAGTGAATAAATGAATGGGTGAGTGATGCCGAGATAAATACTGCTATCACCACTACCATTAACACCTGTATTCGGCACTAGTGTTATATAGGTTGAAATACTGATAAACCAACACTTACTACCATCATTCAGTACAGCCGTCACCACCAACACTCTTCGCGTCTTACCTGGAAAAAACAAAACATTGACTAATTAATAAAATCCTCAACTCATCCTGCTTAAAATAAACAATCCTCAACTCATCCTGCTTAAAATAAACAATCCTCAACTCATCCTGCTTAAAATAAACAATCCTCAACTCATCCTGCTTAAAATAAACAATCCTCAACTCATCCTGCTTAAAATAAACAATCCTCAACTCATCCTGCTTAAAATAAACAATCCTCAACTCATCCTACTTAAAATAAACAATCCTCAACTCATCCTGCTTAAAATAAACAATCCTCAACTCATCCTGCTTAAAATAAACAATCCTCAACTCACCCTACTTAAAATAAACAATCCTCAAATCATCCTGCTTAAAATAAACAATCCTCAACTCACCCAGCTTAAAATAAACAATCCTCAACTCACCCAGCTTAAAATAAACAATCCTCAACTCATCCTGCTTAAAATAAACAATCCTCAACTCATCCTACTTAAAATAAACAATCCTCAACTCACCCAGCTTAAAATAAACAATCCTCAACTCATCCTGCTTAAAATGAATAATCCTCAACTCACCCTGCTTAAAATAAACAATCCTCAACTCATCCTACTTAAAATAAACAATCCTCAACTCATCCTGCTTAAAATAAACAATCCTCAACTCATCCTACTTAAAATAAACAATCCTCAACTCACCCTACTTAAAATAAACAATCCTCAACTCATCCTACTTAAAATAAACAATCCTCAACTCATCCTACTTAAAATAAACAATCCTCAACCTATCCTACTTGCACAAAACAACTCAACTCATCCTGCTTAAAACAAACAATCCCTCAACTCCATCCCATTTTAAAATAAACAATCCTCAACTCAATTCTACTTAGTAAAATAAACAATCCCTCAACTCATCCTGCTTAAAATAAAACAAATGGACCAGAAAATACCACATATAATTTTCTAACAATAGAGAAATATAATATAAAAATACATTGTTTTTTTTTATTGAAGATTAACTTGAAGATTATTGAAAAGATTTAAACAATATGGAACTTTTAAGAGGTGAGACGATGCAGATAACGGTAGGGGGAAGTAGTACTCGGTGAAGATGATCCTCTTAGTAGACAAATAACCTATCCCTTGTACTGTTACCTTGTCCCTTGTACTGTTACCTTGTCCCTTGTACTGTTACCTTGTCCCTTGTACTAGTCTTCCTAACTCGCCCCATGCCCCGCCCCTGTCTCTGCCTCACCCCCGCCCCGCTGTCATGATAAGTTCCATCAACCACACCTTTACTGGCGCCATTTTCTCAACACCTATACATTACCATCAAGGTCTCTCTCTCTCATTGTATTTCTTGTTACTATCATAATCCAGCTATTACCGCCCACAACCCCACTACCGGATGTAAGGATGTGTGCCCAATAAACTAGCACTGTGTGAGGCGTGAGGTGTGGGGGGCAGAGGGGAATGGCGTGGGGTATATGGTGTGGTGGAGTGGGGGTGTGGTGGAGTGAGGGTGTGGTGGAGTGAGGGTGTTTTTGTTACCACGCCTCTACCACCACAACCACCACACGTCTACCATTATCTTCTCTCCTCCAAGAATCACCCAGCACCTACCACCACACACCTACCAATACCTTCCCATCTACAACAATCACTACCACATCATCAACCATCATCCAACACCACACACTCCCACATCCATCACCCACACCACCACTCAACCATCACCATTGTATATAACTGCCATCAACATCTCTCTCCCACACTAACCACAATCACAGAAACACGCCTACCACCACCACCACCGTCTTTCAACCACCGTAAGAGGCTATACCACAATCACAAGCCTGTCATTACATTTTCTCTCGTTCACCACAACAACACGGCTACCAACACCGTCTCTTCCTAGATCAACCACCACACACCCACCATCACTACCACCACACACCCATCACCACTACCACCACTACCACACACCTACCACACACCTACCATCACTACCACCACACACCCACCATCACCACTACCACACACCCACCATCACTACCACCACACACCCATCACCACTACCACCACTACCACACACCTACCACACACCTACCATCACTACCACCACACACCCACCATCACCACTACTCACCACCACCACACACCTACCATCACTACCACCACACCCACCATCACTACCACCACACACCCATCACCACTACCTCTCTCACACACCTACCATCACTACCACCCACACACCCATCACCACTTCACACCACCACCACACACCCCACCATCACTACCACCACACACCCATCACCACACCAACACACACCTACCATCACCACCACACCACACACCCACCATCACCACCACCACACACCCATCACCACCACCACCACCACACACCCACCATCACCACCACCACACACCCACCACCACACACACCCACCATCACCACACCACCACCACACACCACCATCACACACCACACACCCACCATCACTACCACTACTACCACACACCCATCACCACTACTCACCACTACCACACACCTACCATCACTACCACACCACACACCCACCATCACTACCACACACCCACCATCACCACCACACACCCACCATCACTACCACCACCACACACACCTGGGCTCATCACTACCACCACACACCCACCATCACTACCACTACTACCACACACCCACCATCACTACCACTACTACCACACACCCACCATCACTACCACTACACACCTACCATCACTACCACCACACACCTACCATCACCACCATCACTACCACTCAACCACCATCACTACCACACACCCACCATCACTACCACCACACACCCACCATCACTACTACTACTACTGGGGTGGGGTGGGGTGGGGTGAGGTGGGGTGGGGTGAGGTGGGGTGGGGTGAGGTGGGGTGGGGTGGGGTGGGATGGGGTGGGGTGGGTGGTGGGATATTTTTTTATTGTGTAGAGAAAGGAGGAATGAAGGAAGATTAGAGGTGGGGGAAGGAAGTTTTAGTTCAGAAATTGAAGAAATTTAGGAGGAGGTAAGAGAGGGCGGACTGACCGCCTAGCTAAGCTAATAGTGTGTTAGGGTTGTGTCATGGGTTAGTTATTGTCTGTCGGTACAGGCACTAGACATCCTACCCTGTCCCATATATTGGGATGGGGTGGGTGGTGGGATGGGAGGTGGTAGGGTGGTGTGGAGGTGGAGGTGGTGCAGTGGTGGGTGGTGGTTAATCTTCAGGTAATCCCATCGCAACTTACCTTCCTTCTGTAAGTGGAGTAGGAATGAGAGAGAGAGAGAGAGAGAGAGAGAGAGAGAGAGACTCACAGGCAATCCTTGGGTAAGCCTTCATATCATCAGTCCTCATGAACGCACACTATTCAACCAACAGTAACCAAAGTGGCTCTTAAAACGACGGTAGAGAAGAGTGTGAGGGTGACACACACACACACACACACACACACACACACACACACACACAACACACACACACACACACACACACACACACACACACACACACACACACACACACACACACACACACACACACACACACACACACACACACACACACACACACACACACACACACACACACACACACACACACACACACACACACACACACACACACACACACACACACACACACACACACACACACACACACACACACACACACACACACACACACACACACACACTATTAATTATTACATAGAGATGACAAAATGATGGCAGGAGTTTATATACCTGGAGAGTCTTGGAGATCGAAGAGGAAACACTCATCACATACCTGGAGGGCCTTGGAGATCAAAGAGAAACCACTCACATACCTGGAGGGCCTTGGAGATCAAAGAGAAAACACTCACATACCTGGAGGGCCTTGGAGATCAAAGAGGAAACACTCACACACCTGGAGGGCCTTGGAGATCAGGGCTGTCTCACCCAGCTGGAGGTCCAGACTTTAAGAAAGACATATGAACTCACCTAGCTGGAGGGACTTGGAGGTCTTGAGGACGGAATTAGCCGAGGTCTTCCGCCGTCGGTCGCCGATGTGACTGAACCAAGAGCCGATCTTGGCCGTGCCGGAGGTGAAGGAACTGAAGGTGGAGCTCTTGTGCAGCATCTTGAGGTCCATGACGCGACCCAGCGCTTACCTAACACAGTACAAACACCGGACACCACGCCCCTCACCGGGTCTCAAAGCCACTACACGCCCACACGCTGCCCACGCCTACGAGATCCACACCTTGACCAGTGTGGTGGCGCGGGTGCTGGAGGGAACAGGGGTGGGGGATGGGGGAGACACGAGGTCAACTCTTCATAGTGGTGTCATCACATGGGGTTGAAATACTAAGGACGGTATTGTGTGTCATCATCTGGCCATGCTGGTGACTGGCTCTCACCGGGGGCCACCAGGCAGGCAGGTAGGTAGACAGACAGGTAGGCAGACAGACAGGTAGCTCGTTAAGTTACACCGTGGTACAGGACCGGGTCAGAGGTCCCACACACACACACACCCCTGAGGCTTGGCTTCCCGGGTCAACACAGTTACCGTCGGCCTCAATCTCCCAGGTTGACGATGTGTCTTGCTAAGGTCTCCACAATTATCCAGTGAAGGAGCAGGAGGTATTGACTCACTTCCTCCTACCTTCTTCTATAACAGTATACACTCGTAAACGTTAACTGTGGGAGTGTGGGGGTGGGGGAGGAGGAGGGTAGATCGTCTTCTGGGTGGTGGTGGTGTACAAGACGACTGAATGAGTGTGTGTGAAATGTGTGCGCGCGCGCGAGGACAGAGGAAGTACCCAGCTCCGTCTTATTCCAGCTTATCAGTAGTAGTAACGATAAGGCCGTCGGTACTAACACCTCTACTATCTACTGATAACAGACTTACGACTCGGGAGGGAGGGAAGCCTTACGTGGCAGCAGCTTAGGTGTGGAGGGGGGACTGATTATTTAATAAGGGGTGATATGAGACAGGTGTCAACTCTGTTGGGAAAGGATTAATGGAGAGTAATTCTGTGTTTCATTAAGGGGCAGAGACGTGTCTTACTAAGAGGGGACGTGTGTGTTTATTTTTAAGGGGCAGGGACGTGTGCTTCTACAAAGGGACAGGGACGTGTGTGTTTACTTGTTAGCAGGGACGTGTGTGTACATTAAGGGACAGGCGACGGTGTCTTTACTAAGAGGCAGGGACGTAAAGCTTACTAAGGGGCAGGGGATGTGTTTACTATAGAGAGGAGACGTGTGTTTACTAAGGGGAGAGGAGACGCAGGTTTACTAAGGGGGGAGAGGAGACGTGTGTTTACTTTTGCAGGCAGGAGACGTAAGTTTACTAAGGGGAGAGGAGACGTGTGGTTTACTATGTTAGGGGACGTGTTTACTAAGGGCAGGGACGTGTTTACTAAGGGCAGGGAGACGTGTGTTTACTAAGGGGGGAGAGGAGACGTGTGTTTACTATAAGTAGGGGACGTGTGTTTACTAAGGGCAGGGACGGTAGGTTTACTAAGGGGGGAAGAGACGATCGTGTGCTATCTCTTATTAATATCATGTGTTTACCATTACAGGTGCTGGAGGGCAAACGTGTTTACCTGGAGGGGGGTCAAAGGGGTATTTTACTATCACTGAAATTAACGTGTATAATACCCAGAGACCGGGGAGCAGGGGATACGGTGTTTATCTCACGGGGGTGGGGGGGTGACGATGACCTTGTTTGTTTACTTACAGAGGGAAGGGAGAAAATATCCACTGTTTACTAATTGGTGGTAGGTGGTGTGAGGGTATGGGAGGGGGGAATGATGTGTGTGTGTAAGGTTGGATGGGTATATGGGTGGGTGGTTTGACTAGGACGAGTATATAGCACTTATGTTTACTTCAGAGGAGGAAGAGGAAGTGACGGCAGTGGAGGGGAAGTAGGAGGCTGGCTGAGACTGTACTCCTACACCACATATTCCTTCTCCTCTATGTAGCTCCTTCTTTTACTTCCTTCCTTTTCTTCCTTCTTTCCTTCCTTCCAGGCCCGACCTACAAGAAATAAGGATTAAAGCATTATAGCATCCAGCACCACGAGACAAGACAACCCAGGCGTGTGATCAAGTAAGTCATCGTTTGGAGGCAGAGGGAGTTACACCTTTACACCGTGGAGGTTTGAGGCAGTTACACCTTTACACCGTGGAGGTTTGAGGCAGTTACACCTTTACACCGTGGAGGTTTGAGGCAGTTACACCTTTACACTGTGGAGGTTTGAGGCAGTTACACCTTTACACTGTGGAGGTTTGAGGCAGTTACACCTTTACACTGTGGAGGTTTGTGCAGTTAAGCACCTTCTTACACTGTGTGGAGGTTTCTGAGGCAAGCACCTTTACACCGTGGGAGGTTTGAGGGAGTTACACCTTTTTACACTGTGAGGTTTCTGAGGGAGTTACACCTTACACTGTGGAGGTTTGAGGGAGTTACACCTTTACACGTGGAGGTTTGAGGCAGTTACACCTTTACACTGTGGAGGTTTGAGGCAGTTACACCTTACACCGTGGAGGTTTGAGGCAGTTACATTCCTTTACACCGTGGAGGTTTGAGGGAGCACACTTTTACACTGTGGAGGCTTGAGGCAGTTACACCTTTACACTGTGGAGGTTGAGGCAGTTACACCTTTACACCGTGGAGGCTTGAGGCAGTTACACCTTTACACCGTGGAGGTTTGAGGGAGTTAAGCACCTTTTACACCGTGGAGGTTTGAGGCAGTTACACCTTTACACCGTGGAGGTTTGAGGCAGTTACACCTTTTTTACACCGTGGAGGTTTGAGGCAGTTACACCTTACACCGTGGAGGTTTGAGGCAGTTACACCTTTTACACTGTGGGAGGTTTGAGGGAGCGCACCTTTACACTGTGGAGGTTTGTGCAGTTACACCTACACCGTGGAGGTTTGAGGCAGTTACACCTTACACCGTGGAGGTTTGAGGCAGTTACACCTTTACACTGTGTGGGAGGTTTGAGGAGTTAATGTACCCTTTCTTTTTTCGACGTCAGTTTTCACTACATGATAATATGAACCAAGAATCTGGCCATTGTGTACCATGAGGAGGAGGAGGAGGAGGAGGAGGAAGAGGAGGAGGAAGAGGAGGAGGAGGAGGAAGAAGAAGAGGAAGAGGACGAAAAAAGGAAGCTGAGGAGGAGGAGTTGAAAGAAGAGTACGTAGCAAGAGAAGGAAAAGAGGATGGGGGGAAGAGGAGGAGGGGAAGATAAAGAATAGAAGAGGAGGAGGAATAGGAAGAGGGAGAGGAGGGCGATATACGAGTACACAAGCACCTCACACTACTTCCCTTCCTCCTCCTCTAGACTGGCTGAACGTATGGGAATATATTTGAACGTATGGGAATATATTTGAACGTATGGAAATATATTTGAACGTATGGAAATATATTTGAACGTATGGAAATATATTTGAACGTATGAGAATATATTTGAACGTATGGGAATATATTTTCAATCATATTTAAAAAAAAAGTTTATAAAACAAATATCGTATCTTTTTTTTAATATAATTCGTAAAAAAAATATTTCTTTTTTCCGATGTCATACAAATCGCTTTTGTCTGTCAGTCTGCGTGTTTGTTTACATCTTCATATTTACAACACAGTCGCTGATATTTGTTGGAACACACACACACACGCACACACAGGCGCGCGCGCGCGCACACACACACACACACACACACACCAATTGTCTGTCTAATTTATCACTCCCCTATTTCTACTCTCTTACATGATGAGAGAGAGAGAGAGAGAGAGAGAGACCACCACACCTCCCACACCCACACATTACACCCCCTCCCTCCCCTTAACACCCCCCTCTCCCTGACTCACACACAAGCCATCACACCTTACGATCACAACAAAACAATACATTCTCAGTAGACACACCAACAGGTAAGGGAGGGAGGGAGGGAGGGAGGGCAGCCGGACCACACTCCCCGGGTCAAGGCGACAATGGCGAAAATTTATAAAAAATAAATAAATAAAAAAATAAAAGCTTGTGACAGGTTGGTGGCGGCGGGGGGGTCTCTTACAGACGTACATACACACGAAAAACACTTACATACGAAAACACACACATGCAGACACAAGCAAATATTAATACACACACACTATAGTACTGTACTGGGTGGCCGCAGGAGCTACTTGACACAAACCACCTTCTGTATTCACCGCCCTTCCTTCCTTCCTTCCTTCTCTCTCACTCCCTCCCTCTTTCCTTCCTTACTTCCCTCTCTCTCTCTCTCCCTTTCCTTCTTTACTTTTCTCCCTCCCTCCATTCTTCTCCTTTCTCTCCTCCTTCCTTCCCTACTTCTCTCTTTGGCTCCCTTCCTCCATTCTTTTCTTCTTTCTCTCTCTGCCTCCCTCTTTTTCTTTCTTCCCCTTCTCTCTCCCTACTTCCCTCCCTCCTTCCTTTCTTTCCCTTTCTCCCCACTTCCCTACCTCTCTTCTTTCTCCCCCCACCTTCTTTCCCTTATCATCATCTCCCCTCCTCCCTACTCCCTCCTCCTATCATTCTCATGGCACCCCCCTTCTCCTGATAACGATGGTAATAAAATTCTCCGGAGATCAATGTGGCACTGTGAATATGAATGGGATGGCACTATTTCCCCTCTTATCCACTTACCGCGGCACCCACCCACCGACCCACCCACACACGTAGACACTTAACCAGCCACCCACCCACACACAGCGGCAGCCACCCACGTAGGCATTTATACCACCCACATACACCCACCCACATTGACACTTAACCACCCACCCACCTACCGACCCACATACACACACAGCGGCAGCCACCCATTTAGGCATTTATACCACCCACCCACCCAATGCACCACTTAACCACCCATACACTGCGACACTCACTCCCCGCCACACACTGCGACACCCACACCCCGCCACACACTGCGACACCCACACCCAGCACTCCATCCCCCTCCCTCGTCTACTCTATATGCAAAACAATCAAACAAGCGGCCACCTCTCTGAATATTCACACCACCACCTACGACAATAACCTGGACTGCTGAATAATAATAATAACAACATATATTTCACCACAACCAACACCTAACGTATCGTGTAGCCTGACCTGACGTGTTCTGACCCGACCTAACCTAACATAACCTAACCAACACCTAACGTATCGTGTGACCTGACCTGACCTAACCTAACATAACCTGATGTAACCTACCCTAACTTGACCTGAACTAACCTAAAACCTCAAGTAAGTATCGTGTAACCTCGCCTAGCCAAACCTGACCTAACTTACCAAACACCTGACACCTCCAAGTACTATTGTGGAACCTTAACCTAACCAGAGCGCTACCGAACCACCTCAAAACCCCACCTCCTCCACTAGACACCCCCCCTCCTCCCAACCAACCCCTAAACCCCTGCCACCACCCCTCCCCCCAGGTAGATTATATAAATGTTTTTGTCCTCGTCTTCATGGGCACAAATTGACGTCTTGTCCCACTAGACTAGACCATAGGGGCGTGGGCGTGAATGTGGACGGCGGCACACCCTCCCTCCATCCTTGTTACGTTCTTACAACAAAAACAATAGTAATAATAATACCGGTAACAACAACAACAACAATAATAATAATAATAATAATAATAATAATAATAATAATAATAATAATAATAATAATAATAATAATAATGATAATGACAATGACAACAACACGGTATAATGACCAGCCTTACACATACACACATTATATTTTGACTCATAATAATATATTCCAGCACAGATGAGTCACAGTATTATATTTACATCCACTTCCCCCTACAACAACAACTACTACCCCCCCCCCCGTGAATATATAATAACAACAACTACCCCCCCACCGATACACCAACAAGCTATAATCACCCCTAAATGAAACACAAATCCCATAAATGTGTGCCTACCATAATT